TTCATTGACTATGCTAAAGCCTTTGATTGTGTGGATCACAACCAATCAGTGGTTCCGTGTCCAGTTCTCACTGTTGCTTCTTGACCCGCATATAGGTTTCCCAAGAGACAAATAAGATGGTCTGGTACTCCCATCTCTTTAAGAACTTGCCACAATTGGTTGTGATCCACACAATCAAAGGCTTTAGCATAGCCAATGAAGCAGAAGTAGATGTTTTTCTGGAACTCCCTAGCTTTCTCCATGATCCAACATATGTTGGCAATTTGATCTCTAGTTTCTCTCCCTCTTTGAAATCCTGCCTGAACTTCTGGTAGTTCTCGGTCCACATACTGCTGGAGCCTAACTTGTAGGATTTTGAGCATAACTTTGCTAGCATGTGAAATGAGTGCGATGGTGCGGTAGTTTGAACATTCTTTGGCATTGCTCTTGTTTGGGATCGGAATCTAAACTGACCTTTTCCAATCCTGTGGCCACTGTTGAGTTTTACAAATTTGGTGGCATATTGAGTGTAGCACTTTTACTGCATCGTCTTTTAAGATTTTGAATAGCTCAGCTGGAATACTGTCACCTCCACTAGCTTTGTTGTTGCTCAGACTTCCTAAAGCCCATTTGACTTCACATTCCAGGATGTCTGGCTCAAGGTCAGTGACCACCCCATCGTGGTTATCAGGGACGTTAAGCTCTTTCTTGTATAGTTCTTCTGTGTAGTCTTGCCATCTCTTCTTAATCTCTTCTGCCTCTGTTAGGTCCCTGCCATTTTGGTCCTTTATCATGCCCATCTTGCATGAAATGTTCCCTTCATATCTCCAATGAGATTTCTGGTTCTCCCTATTCTATTGTTTTCTTCTATTTCTTTCCACTGTTAATTTAAGAAGGCATTCTTATCTCTTCTAGCTATTATCTGGAATTCTGCATTCAATTGGGTGTATCTTTCTCTTTCTCCCTTGCCTTTTGCTTCCCTTCTTTCCTCAGCTATTTGTAAAGCTTCCTCAGACAGCCATTTTGCTTTCTTGCATTTCTTTTTCTTTGGGATGGCTTTAGTTGCTACCTTTTGTATGGTAAGAGTGATGCCTAACATTAATAAACAGCCACATTAATATTAACATGCAAGCAAAACAATTTGGCCACAGTGATACAGGCACAAATAATCTCAAGACTGGTTTACTGCAGTGTGGTCTATGCAGGGTTGCTCTGTGGTGCTCTGGAAGCTGGCACTAGTGCAGGGGGGAGCAGCACAGCTGCTGTTAAGAGTTGCTCCTTTTCGGCATGCAACTCTTTTGCTGAGAGAAGTGCAAATGACTGCCTCTTCACTACTGGGTCAAGTTTAAGGTTCTGGTTGTTGTTATGTGTCCTCAGGTCATCTGCAACTTACAATGATCCTATGAATGAAAGCCCTCCAAAGTGTTCTGTCCTTCAGAATCCTGGTCAGTTCTTCTATACTTAAGGCTGTGGCTTCCTTTATGGAATCAACCCATCCCATATTTTGTCTTCCCTTTCTTATTCTGCCTCCAACATTTCCTAGCATTACCTCACAACTCACAACTTTCCTGTGAGTCTTTCATTCTCATGATGTATCCAGATTATGACTGCTTCAGTTTGCTCAAGCTTCTGGCTTGATTTGACCTAGGACCCACTTGTTCATCTTTCTTTCAGTCCGAGGTATTCAAAGGTCTCCTCCAGCATCTTGTTTTGAACATATTCATGTTCTTCTTGTCTGCTTTCTTCACCATCCAGCTTTCACACTCCTACATTACTATCAGGAATACAGTGCTGTGAATAATCTTGGCATTACGTTTCTAGTGAAACATCCTCAAAAACTATCTTCTCTAGTTCCTTCAATGCTACCCCTCCAAGTTTCAGTCTTCTTCAAATTTCTTGGCAACAGTCTCCCTCTGCAGTGATGACCAAGCCAAGATATACCAAATCTTCCACAATTTCAATTTCTTCACTGTTGACAGTAAAGTTCTGTAATGCTTCAGTAATCATATTTTTTGTTTTCTTAATGCTCAGTTGTGGTTCTGCTTTTGCACTTTCTTCTTTCAGTTTCAACAGGAGTTGTTTCATTTCATAGCTTTCAGCCAGTAAGATTATATCATCTGCATATCTTACAATATTGGTGTTTCTTCCAACAATTTTCATTCCTTCCTCTGATCCTAATCCAACTTTCCTTATAATATGTTCTGGGTATAGTTGGAATAGACAGGGAGATAAAATAAACTTTTGTCTGATGCCTTTGGCTATAGAAAACAATTCTATTTCTCTATATTCTGTCCCAGCTGTAGCTTCTTGTCCACAATACTGGTTATGCATCAAGACAATCAGAGGATGTGATTAAGTATAGGCCAGTAACAAACATTCCTGTCCTGGACTAGGTGCTGGTGGTGGTGACCGAGCTGCTCCAAGCACTCTTGGGTGAAACCGATTATCTAGATCCATTTACATCCAGCTTCAGGCCTGGTTTGAGAACAGAAACAGACTTGCTCTGTAGGATCACCTTTGCCAGGAGACAGATGGGGGCATGCAACCGAATTGCTGTGCAGCTTTGCCATGGAGTACTGCAGGACCCTATTCTATCCCCCATGCTATTTAACATCTACATAGAACCGCTGCGGGAGGTGATCCAGAGATATGGACTGAAATGCCATCAATATGGAGATGACACTCTTTTTCATCAAACCCAGGTTGAGGCAGTGGCCACTTTGAATCAGTGTCTGGGTTCAGTAATGGACTGGAAGATGGCCAATAACCTGAGACTCAATGCAGACAAGATGGAGGTGCATCATCTGTGCAGCTGGGAGATATTCAGCCTGTCCTGGACAGGGCTACTCTCTCCCTGAAGGACAAGCTTCATAGTTTGGGGGTACAAAATCATCACTAGAGTTTCAGGTGGACTCAGTGGCACAGAGCACCTTTTATTAGTTGAGGCTGAACCTAACTACAGTAATACATGTTCTGGTAACCTCTCGTTTGGGCTACTGCAATGAGTTCTACATGGGGTGGTCTTTGAAAACAGTCCAGAAACTTCAACTGATCCAAAATAGGGCAGCATGGCTGCTAATGGAGATTGTTCCATGAGATCATATAACACCAGTCTTCTTTCAGCTGCACTGGTTGCCAGTTCAGGTCCGGAACCAATTTAAAGTACTAACATTTAAAGCCCCAAAGGCTTAGGGACAGGTTATCTGAAGGAACTCCTTATTCCATATGTACCTACCCAGGCCCTAAGATCTTTTCAAAGAGCCTGTCCCCAGGAAAGTAGAGGAGTGACAACCAGGAGAAGGGCCTTCTTGATTGTGGCAACCCCTTTAGAATAAGCTGCAGAGAGCGATTTGCTTGGAGACTTCCCCTACCCCTTCAGCACCACGTGAAATCCTTTTTATTCTCCAGGCATTTTAATAGTTAAATGTATAGTTTTGATATGGTTTTTATTAGATGCTGTTGTTGTACCTATGTCCCAATTCGATATGTTGTCTTGGGGTTGTTTTTATTACTGTTGCTTATGGCTATCTTTATTACTTTTCTTGTGATATTGTTGCTTTTGCTTTTGTTTATATGTTTTAACTGTATGCAAATCACCCAGAGCACCTTTCTGGCCATTGGGCAGTATAAAAATGAAATAAACAAAATCAGGTGCTGACACATACTATTTCTTTCAGGACTATCCATATCTTCTCATGATCCACACAGTCAGAGGTTTTGCTGTAGTGTTTAAAACATACACTGATATTCATCCTTTTTTTTTTTTTTTTTGGTGCACTCCAATAGCCAACATGTATTTGCAATACAATCTCAAATACTTCTTCCTTTTCAGAATCCAGCTTGAACATCAGGCATTACTCTCTCCATACACAGTAATACTCTTTGCTGCAACACTTTCAGCATCACTTTGCTTGCACAAGAAATTAGTGCAGTGGTCCTATGTTTGCTGCACTCTTTTGCATCTACTCTCTTAGGAATTAGAATGTATATTGAATGTTTCCAGTCTGTGGGCCATTGTTTTGTTTTCCATGTCTGTTGGCATATTCTTGTTAGGACTCTGCAGCTTGGAATAGTTCTATTGGTATCTTCTTTGGGTGCTTTATTCCTTCCAAATACTTTTCGAGCAGCTTTCATTTCACTTTCTAATATTGAAGGCTCTTCATAAGATTCCTCTTCAAAAGAGTCTGTCATCCTTTCATCCCGTCTTATAATCCTTCTGTGTATTGCTTCCACCTTCTTTGTATTTTCTCCTGGTTGAACAGTAGGTTCCCTTGTTTGTCTTTTAGCGTTCCTAATTTAGGTTTGAATTTCTCTTTGATTTCCTGGATCTTTTGGAAGTGCTCTCATTCTTCCTCTTTTATAGTTCTCTCTTTTTTTTCCTTTCCATTGGCCATTGTAATAGTTCTTTTTGGCGCTATGTGATAGTCACTGAAAAGTTGCATTCAGGATTCTGACCCTATTTCTGTCACCTTTTGCTTTTGCTTCTCGTTTGTCCTTAACAACTGTGAATGTTACTTGTCTTATCCATCTAGGCTTTTTTTTTCTTTTTTGCCACAGGATCCCTGAGAGGGTGTCTTCTTCTTTACCAACCTGCTCTACTTCTACAGACCTCCTTGTATCTGGAGATTAGGCAGTGCCAACACTGCTGTTTTCAGTAAGCTGCTGAAGGCACCTTTGTCTTGGAAAGTCTTCCATGCTGATCAGTGATAGTTTTAATGTTACTCTGTTTTTAATGTTTCATTTTTATTCTTTTATCTGTTTCATCTTTGTATTGTTCTTTGTTCCAAAATCTATCTCAATATGGGACAGTACACAAATACTTAAATCAATCAATCAAACAATAGTTTTCTTGGGATGCAGTCCTATAACACACTTACTCAAAGGGGCTTACTTCTGAGTAGACCTGTGGACAATCTTATGCTTTTTTGAAAATATTGCAATAACAGGGTTCAGTATGGAAAGCTGAGGTTTTCAGCATTTGGAACAACTTGTGGTATGGTTTGGGCACATTTTTAAAATGGATTCAAACCTGTGTCAGAGTTAAATCTGAAACATGGTTAACCTTAATAACCTGAAATGCTACGTTGCTGTACACACCCTTAAGGCTGCACATTTAACTGAAAACCTACATTAATGACACACTGTACTGATATAGCTCTGATAACCCATCACTAAGATTTTCTTTCCTAGTATAAAATATCCAAAACTGGTAGCAAAATAGGTAAACCTATTCCACCAGGTTTTGCAAAGGCATGCTAAAGAAGGAAAGAAGTACCCAGACATTCTCCAATAATGATTTACTCTTTTGTTTTATAATAAATAAATATTAACACAAAATAAGTAAACATACCAAATATGCTCAACATTAAGAAAAAAAGATTGTCATTTAGGATACTCTACCTTTTTCCGCGCTCCCATTAATTTTAGGAATGAAGTCATCAACTTGTATGCCTAGAATTAACAAATGGTATTAATTCTGAATATGTGAAGTATACTATACAAATTGGAACCAACTTTCTGTACTGTTTAAGACTGGACTAGAATGGTGCCCCCTCCTTTTGCTACACCCGCAGCAGCTGGCAAAATGAGATGAGCTTCTAGGCTATTTTCAGGAGACAGATTTTAAAGCTAGTGAGGCAAACCATGGGGGAGGGGGAAGAAATCACACCATTATGACCTCAATTCCCTATAATGTACCCCAGAATCGGTATCAATCTGAGAGGTATGGTATATGGAAAAAAGTAGTGCACTCCCTTATTGGTGCCCCCATTCCATCCTGTACCCAGAAATATTCCAGTAAGCAACATTCATCAGGAATATTAAACTTGACAACTGATAGCAGATAAAAATTGGGGGGGAAATTGTGGTAAAACCTTTGAAATATAGGTACATACCAAGCTGCCTTATATATCACATAAGATAACTGGCTAATCTGAGCCATTATTGTTTATATTGCTTGACAGTGGCAATCCAGGTTTTCCAACATGGACTTTTCCCAGACCTATCTGGAGAAGTCTGGAAGTGAACTTGGACCTTTCAATATTATACTATATTTATACCTGAAGTATTTGACTTGTAAACTCCCAGAGTGCAAATGAAGACAAGCAGCTATGCCTTGACATTCAACTGCATATCTCTCGCTAAATTTAAGACAAACTTTTGAAAGCCTGTTTTAGCTCTAGCATTGCTTTATCATCCCAACTATTGGTAAATGAGCTAGAATTCTTTTCTTTTTTTCTTGAATAACTGATCTTGTCACATATTAGATGTGCCAAAGTCAAGGAACACTCTAGAAAATAATTAATTCATTATGTATTCTCTACCACTGGAACAAAAAAGCTTCAATGACCAAGCAAAGTACTTTCTGTCAATTCATTTTAAAAGCAGTGCCCTCTACAGGCATTTTCCTGTAAGCACCAACTGTCTAGAAAGCAAGTCTTTGCAAATCTAAAGTACCATTTTCAAATATTTTTACTTTCTTGCAATCTATTGCTCATTTAACTGCTCTTCCATCACATGAAAGGGATAAAATGTAATATTTAAAATCTAGCATTAAGCAAAGTACTTTAACATCAGACCTACCTAAGCTGTTGTGTTCTTTAAGAGCTTTGTCCTGAAGATGTTCTAACCGGACTGCAAACAGAATTCCAAAAAATATATATATTTCACAGTTTAAAAGAAAAACTTATGATAAAAACATGTTTGGGCTACTGGACTGACCTTGTAAAGCAGTTAGCCGTTCATTGGTGAAGTCATTATCTGCTTGCAAGGCCTCTATTTTCGCTTGAAGTTCTTGCTCTCTCTCTTCCATTTCTTTTATTTTATATTGTAGTTCCTTTTTCTCAGCCTGTCCCTTTTGCTGAATTTCTTCTTGTCTTCCTTCAGCTGCCTATTCAAAGCCAGAGAAAACAACAACGTAGTTCAAAACCATTTTTAGAAAGAATGGTCAGATGTCTTTTATTTTGCTAATGCATGACATCTGAACATCCATGATGTAGAACACCAATTTATGCTCAGAAGGCACCCTCCACATGCATAGTGAGGAAGTGCCAATTTTTGTCTGCCACTACTACAACATAACATGTGATATGGGATTTATGTATGCATAATTCATAAGAGCCTTTCACACCAAAGTGGGGTGGAACTTTGTATGTATCAACACTCCTACAGTCTGCATCAGTTTACACCATGCATGTGGTAAGGTCCATGCATCCACACCACACGTAAGGAGTGATCTGCTCCAGTAAATTAGAACTGTTTTTTGAAGCTGAGCCCGCACTAGTTTTTATATCCAAACTTACTCTGTTCAATCCACTATACAAAAGCATAGTCCTGACTCACTCAGTTTCTATGTTTCTATATAATGGCATCACTATTAATAACAACAATGAAAGAGCTTGTGTTGTACTGGGACTCCAGAGAGCTGGGTTCTAGTCCCCACTCGGCCATGAAACTCACTGGGTGACTTTGCACCAGTCAGTTTCAACCTAACCTACCTCACAGGGTTGTTGTTGTGAGGATAAAATGGAGAGGAGAACCTGGTAAGCCGTCTCATGTTCCTTGCAAGAAGAAGAAAAGTGGGGTATAAATGTAGTAACAACAACAACATTTTCCCAAATGTGTGAAAATCAATTATACTAACTGAAGTAACTTATGTGGAAAGTGTCAAGTTTTGTCCCGAAAAAAGGTTGCTTTAATGAAAGAACCACAAAGTGTAAGCACATTTTAGAAGTTTAGCCATGAATGGAAGAGTACAGAGCAATCAATGGCTTAAGAAAATTAAGTCAGTGCACATAACATAGAAACCACCTTAGCCCCTAGTGAAAAGCTCATCCGAGATGAATTCATCATAGTTCCCCACTGATTTTGGAAATCTTTATGATTTAGATCAGGGGTCCTCAAACGTCTTCCCCAGAGGGCCAGCTGAAAGGTGCCGGTGCTGGTCGCGGGCCGGCACAGGGGCAGGGGTGGCGCGTGCAGGCACACGTGCTGAGGTGGGGGCGGGGCGTGTGGCAAGGCGGGGCAGGCTGGCGCACGTGGCGAGGGGAGGCAAGGCGCAGGTGGGGACGGGCATGCGCTGTGAGGTGGGTGCACGAGGCAGCGGCTTGCTTGCTTGGAGATTTTCTCCGAGTGAGCAAACCGCTGCCTCCCCGCGCGCAGGGCAAGGTGGGCGACGGTGGATGCAGGTGCATGGGTGAGCTATGTTAGAAGTTACTCTCATTACTGCAGAGAGCAGTGCAGATACATTCTCAGGGTAATCCTGCTCCCTTGGAGGTGGGGGCGGTAGCAGCTCTCCAGCCACATGGTGGAGCTGCTGTCTATCCTCTCGTCTGACAACCAGCTGTCCTCTAACAATGCAGGTAGACTTCTCCCAGCCTGCAGGACGTAGTTTGAGGACCCACGGTCTAAATCATGGGTCCTCAAACTACGGCCCAGGGGCCAGATCCGGCCCGCCACGCCCATTTATCTGGCCCGCCATAGCTCACTACATGCGCAGGACGAGGCACCAGGTTGCTCCCAAGGCAATCATTTTGGAGAGAACAATGTCGGTGCACGCCCCCCCCCCCCAGCCCATGCCCCCCTGCCCGCATCACCTTGGTGGCCTGTGCCCATTGCTGGCACCTTTCAACTGGCCCCCTGTTCAGAAAGTTTGAGGACCCCTGATTTAGACCATACATGATGAAACTGCAACAAATTCTTTATGTTAAACAAAAAAGCAGGCTTACTTTAATGAGATATTAAAATATGCATTATTTAAATTATTACTATAAATCTCCTTTTAAAAAGCCAGGTAACTGGCCATTCAAATGAACATAGATGGTTCCCCACAAGACTTACTTGGCCCAACATCTAGAATAGGGTTTCAAATGGATTAGGATTTATTGCATTCTGTTAATTTCTATGTTGCTTTACCCTCTTTATATATTAAGTCTAGATTATTTCCCTGTATAATTGAGTACAGGCTATGCTTACTCAGTTGCTGGTTTTGCCTTATTTGAATGTACTGATGTTTTGCAACAAAAAGTCATTTTCAAATATTGAGCTTTATTTCGATAGCAAGTTGATGCTTATTTTCAGCTGCTTTGAGCATAATCCAAAAGTGGAAAAGTAGCATACATATAAACAAACTAATCAATGTTATCCCCAACCATGTTTCTCCTTCTTCTGGACATTGAATTGATGTTCCTTCACTCCCTCAGCGGCACAGCCAGGAGCCCCCTATTTGTAAACCTACAAGTTTAGGGTTAGGTCACCTCTATTTTTCCATTGTAAAGCTTGCTCTGATACTATACAAACATACCTACAGCATTATCTCTGCAAAAAGGGAGTGAACAATGGATGGAAATTCCAGCAAAAAGAATAGCATGGAAGTAATTTTATTCTTATCTAGAACTGACCATAAAACACCTGTTGCAAAGCTTGTGTTTCAGCAATGAATTGTTTAGAAAGATCATCCATACCTTTAGTTTATCAGTGAGATCTTTAATTTCATTTACAGCTCCATTGTATTTGTTAGCCAGTTCCCGCAATTCTTCCTGAGTCCGTTCATTCATTTCTTTCAAGTGAGTACATTCATCTTCGGTGTTGCTTAAACTTCGCTGTTAAGGAAAACAGAATACTTAATCAAGAAAAGTTTTGTTTACTTTATTGTTAATATTGTGCTAACTGTAACAGTGAACTAAAATTGTGACCACTTCTGTAGAGAAAGGCATGGGATATCACCTAAAACATTCTTTTTCCCTAAAGATGGCATATGGTGAAAACATGTGGTGGAAACCTATTCAGAATATATTATCCATTAGGGTCAAGGGTTTTGCTCTCACTTTGTTTGTAAAAAAACTGTTCACTGTGCAATTACTCTATTTTGTGTGTTAATACTCTAAACAGAAATTGAAGAGTTGTCTCTACAAGTCAACTCTAGAATACGATGTGAAACAAAATGAGGTCAGCTAGCATAATTTCTCAATAGGAGAAAAACTGCATATTAATCTGCTGCCTTTCAACAGTACTATAACAGTGAAGACCTGTAATTGTCAGAGATATTTTCTTTAGTTGTCATCTCCATTTCAGGATGTATCTGACTCACCGCTGAAGTGAACACCACCCAATAATCTGGCACTCTGGGAGAAGTCTATCTCCATTGTTAGAAGACAACTGGTTGTCAGACCAGAGGATAGACAGCAGCTCCACCATGTGGTTGGAGAGCTGCTACTGCCCCCACCCCCAATGGAGCAGTTTTACCCTGAGAATGTATCTGCACTGCTCTCTGCACTAATGAGAGTAACTTCTAACATGGTGGGTTGGCTTTAAAAAAAGCCAGAATTAGCTCCTATGCAGCTCTAAAGCTCACTTTGTAACCTTGGGCAATTCATTTTAACTACCATGAGTGACTGCAGGAACTACTTCCTATTTGACAGCAAAGTGTTAAGTGAACATACACACATTGGATGTACTTTCATGAGCACAAAGGAGACAAGGGACAGGGATGGCTTCTTGCCATGGTTAACAAGACATTCCAGATCCCTACAACAGGCTATGGATTATTTGACTATTGTTTCCTGCTGAAACAAACCATGTTATCCCAGATCAGACAATACAACCAGCTGCCCACCAAGAATGATTAGGGAAATAACCTGTGAAATGCACACCACTTCAAACAAGCCACCATAATTTAGGAGACCATAGTAAACCTGATTAATTCATATTGGCATTGTTGGGAATAAAAGGGGGTTATTCCTGGTGCTTGTTCCAAGGTCAGGCAGATAAAAACTTGTCAGATGATGAGGGGCACCGGGAACCAGAATTCTCAGACAATGAAATGGGTGAAGCAGAGAGGCTTATCTCAAGGGCACTCTCCCCAGGTGTTCAGGAAACGTTGAGAACAGTCAGGATTTACAACTGTAGGGAGGGGAGCGGGAGAACTCCTGCTGCCAGCTGAATATAGCACAACTCTTGACCCCATGACATTACACTGGGAAACATGGGCAAAACAAATAGACAGCCAACAAACAGAGAAGAGGCTTGCCTGTCTATAAAAAGAACATCCCAGAGGGAGGGACCCTAGGAGTGCTCAAAAGGAGACTGCTTGGAAGTAGTTGGTAGATTGGGTTCAACAAACTGCTCTGTGCAAGATCAGAGACTCATTCTTTGTTGGTTGAGCTTGCTGGAAGAGCACTGAAAAATAAAGAGCTGTTGCCAAAGAATGGTATGTGTTTTGGAAGTGCAAAGGGTGGAAACCTGACTCTTAACAGGTATAATTTGAAATCCATCATGGGAACACAAAAAACCTTACAAATTAAAAAGTAGCAATAATGTACAAGAATCAGAATAATAAGGAATTCTGAACACAGAAGTTCAGTTAATGTGACTTCAATTATAATTAAAGTAACAAAAAGGGAAATAGACTCCAAGAGCAGTGGGAAATCTTTGAAAAAAAATTCTCCAAGCACAACCACAAACAATTCCAACAAGCAAAAAAGTGTAGAAAACAAAGGAGAAAACCCACATGGCTCCACAAAAAGTTGAGTGACAAACTGAAAGAAAAAAATAACACGTACAGGAGGTGGGAGTAGAGCCAGGCCACAAAGGAAGAATATAAACACATAGCAAGGAATTGCAGGGACACCATCAAGAAGGCTAAAGCAGGAAAAGGACTGAAACTAGCAGGAGATGCTAAGAACAAGAACGCCTTCTTCAGGTACATCCAAAACAAAAGACATGTGAAAAAGAAAGGTGTCCAGCTACTTAAAGTGGATGGCACCATGATAACAGATGACAAGGAAAAGGCGAAGGTGCTCAATTCCTACCTCACCTCAGTCTTCTCCCACAAGAAAATATACAACCAAGAGGGAAGGACAAGCTGCAAGTGAAAGATGACAGCCCAAGATTGACGGTCAAGGAATTCCTAGATGGAATCAACAAGTTCAAATCTCCAGGGCCCAATGAACTCCATGCCAGAATCATAAAAGACCTATCAGAGGAACTCTCAGATCCACTGGCTATTATCTTTGATAAATATTGGAATACAGGAAAAGTGCCAGACAACTGCAGAAGAGCTAATGTTGTTCCCCTCTTCAAAGAAGAGAAAAAGGTGTACGTGGGAACTACAGACCAGTTACCCTGACATCAATCCCTTGAAAAATTTTGGGGCAAAGTATTTTAAAAATCAGTCTGCAGGCACCTCAAAGAAAATGCAGTGATTAATAAAGGCCAACATGGATTTATCAAAAATAAATCCTATCAGACTAATTTAATCTCATTTTCTGACAGGGTAACCTCCCAAATGGACAGAGGGAACACTGTGGACATAATCTACTTCAACTTTAGCAAAGCTTTCAACATCGTGTCCCATGACATTCTGAAAAGCAAATTAGCAAAAAGTGGACTAGACAGAAAAATTATTAGGTGGATCCAAAATTGGCTGCTAATTCAGTCTGCTCATCAATGGCCCCTTCTCAAACTGGATAGAGGTAACTTATGGGTGCCACAGGGTTCAGACCTGGGTCCAGTGCTCTTCAACATGTTTATTAATTATTTAAATTAGAAAGTACAAGGAAAGATAATCACATCTGCGGACAATACAAAACTGGGTGGAATAGTGAACACCCTAAAGACAGAATGAAAATCCAGGGCAATCTTGATAAACTTGAATGCTGGGCTAAAGCAACAGAATGGGATTCAATAGGGATAAGTGCCATGTCCTCCAGCTAGGAAAAAGAAACCAAATGCATTGATACAAAATGGAGACTACATGGCTCAACGGAACTAAAAAAGATAAAGACCTTAGAGTTATTGTGGACAACAGGCTAAATATGAGCCAACAATGCAATGCAACCACAAAAAGGACAAATGCTATTTTGGGATGCAATGATTATTGCATTATTACTTCCAAATCATGAGAAGTAATAGTTCCGCTATACTCTTCACTAGTCAGACCTTATCTAGAATACTGTGTCTGGTTCTGGGCATCGTGATTTAAAGAAAGATGCAGAAAAATTAGAAAGGGTCCAGAGAAGGGCAACAAAAATGATCCAGGGCAACAAAAATGAACCATGGTTTGGAAACACTGCCCTAGGAGGAGAGACTGAGAGAACTGGGCATGTTCAGCCTTGAGAAGAGAAGACTGAGGGAGAAGAGGATATCACTCTGTAAGTACATCAAAGGCTGTCACAGAGAGGAAGGTTAAGATCTCTTCTTGCTGATACCAGAGTGCAGGACACAGAATAATCAACTCAAATTATGACAAGCCAGGCTCATGCTAGATATCAGGAAAATTTTCCTCACTATCAGAGCATTATGACAGTGAAATCAATTGTGCCTGGAGAGGTGGTGGGCTCTCCCACACTAGAGACATTCAAAAAAGAAACTGGACAGCCATCTGAGTGGGATGGTGTAAACTGGTGTCCTGCAACAGCAGGGGGTTGGACCCAATGGCCTTCAGGAACTGAAAATGAACTCTTCTACTGTTGGATCTTTATGCATATGCTATTTAAAATAAATTTTAAAATATTTTCACCACTTTCAAGCAAAAGTTCAAGTCATTAATACTGGAATATGAACCACCAAAAATTTAAACATGCATCTAAGGAAGACGCACAAGTAATATACATACATGTAGACAGAATTGTTTTACTATGTATTCACAATGAACAAACCCCACAAGAAAAAACTATTTTTACAAATGCTTGATATTTCTAATCTATGCTTTTCCCAGTGATAAGGGGAAAGAATGAGGAACATGGACATCCAAGGCCAACTCCCAATTTTCACTGGGGAGAATGTTGGGGAAAAGAAAGGTGTTCAGGGCTCTAGATATCTCACAAAGCAAAATATCCAAAACTTCATGGAGAGGGAAACATAGTTATTATTTATTTATGTAGTATGATGGCAAAATGATATTTGTATTTCAGAAATGTGGCCAAAACACAATGGCAAATACCTCCACTTCAGAGAGTTTTTTGACCACTTCAATTTTTTCCTGAAGGACCCGCCTCAGGGACTCTTTGGCAGTTGTTTCATAATTATTTTTGTCTTCTTGTAATGCTATAAGTTCCTTTCGTAAACTGTCTTCTGTTTGACTCTGTAAGAAGAAATGCAGAGGTTTCTAACCCACAGGTTCTTATTTACTTACAAAAGCATAACATTCAGGGTGCAATCCTATGGTCTCCTGATACAAGATTATTTGGTGCTTCTGTCCCACTCCTCTCACAGCTGGTATGGCATGAACTGCAACAGCTGCCTCTGAGGTCAGAAATCAACTTTGGAAATGGGGAAAAGGAGCAGGAAGGGGAAGTTAGGGCTAATGGTTTATGCCATATTCCAATGGTACTCCAGTCTCCCTCCCTCCTGCTCTGTGATATGTCATCTAGATGGCCTCTCCCATTCCTATATAATGATCTCAAGAAAACAGCTGTCTAATGAAACAGTAAATGAGGGGTAGGGTAGCAGAAATTGCCACCGTCACACATTGTGCTATGTACTGAATGTATGTAAGACTCTGCATTCAAGGCTTATGTATGCTGAGTGGAGATGGCACTGGATTGTACTGGATTGAACCATTTTAGAACTTCATTAATTACTTTTCCTCTAGAAAAGTCTCATTAAAAGGGTGACATCATCCTTCATGTTGTCAACTAGTTTTGAATGCTGCAATATGGTCCTGTTGTCTGCAGATTTACTTTTAAGTAGTCATGTCATTATGAAATTTCAAATACAGTGGTACTTTGGCTCATGAACACCTCAGTTCACGACGAAATCAGGTCGCAAAGAAAAATTTCATTAAAAAATTGACTCAGGTCGCAAACTCCGCATTGGCTGGCAACTGCAACTGCAGCCATCTCCTGACTGCCCCCCCCCCACCCAAATGGGGAGATGGCCGCGATCGTGCTGGGGGCAGATGGGGGAGATGGCCAATATCATGCCCATCTTTCCTGCAGAAGCACGCCCGTGAATGCGCCCATCTTTCCTGCACAAGCACAACCGCAATCTCAGCCATCTCCCCCCCGCAGCACAATCGTGCCCGTCTCCCCCTCAGTGCGCCTGCATTTGCGCCCATCTCTCCGCCCCCCCAGCGCATCCACGATCACGCCCATCTCTCCCCCAGCGTGCCAGGATGACAGGCACGTGCAGGGATGACAGGTGGGATCATGGTTGTACTGCGGGGGCAGGGAGATGGCCGCTCTCGTGCTTGGGGTGGGGGAGATGACCGTGAACTTGTTGTTCTTTGTCACTTGGCTTCTCGTTTTTCTGATTTTTTTTTTTAAGTTACAGAACAGATTAACCTTATTTACATTGAACCTTATGGGGAAATTTAACTTGGCTCACGACCAATTTGGGTCACAACCAGAGTCCTGAAATGGATTAAGTTTGTGAGCCAAGGTACCACTTTACTGCATTGCTATACACCTCAAAGGCAGAGTTCTGGCTGGAGGAGACTAAAAGCAAGGAATCTTCAAGATCATATGAGAGGAAAGCAGGCATATACTGACTGCCACTTAAGAAGTTATCATTCATTCATTCATTCATTCATTCATTCACTCACACACACACACACACACTACAGTTTAGACAAATATCAGCACACTAACAGGGGTACCAGTTTCACCAGGATTGGAACCAACCTTATCCTGCTTAACATTAACTGTGGCTCAGGTCTATTGTCATGTTCCCCCAACATGAAAGAGGTGGGCAATTCAGCCCTGCAGGAGAGGGTGGGAGAGATGGTATGTTCCCATAGTGGACACCCAATTTCTTTAATCATTGTTGAAAAGGAGACAGTGCTACATCTGCATCAGTTCACAACCATTAAGAGTTTGGAAATATATACAGTGTTTGATGAAACCTCAGAAACAAAACGGGAAATTACAGCATTCCATATGATGGCTGGTATCCCTCCATAATAGCAACTAATGCCCCCAATCCTCTATAATGAGCTCAAGGAGGCTCACGAAGTCCCTGGATAGGCCTGATCACAGGAACAAGGTGCCATCTCAACCACTTTCCCTGGTGCTATTCAGATCTTGGTTAGAAATGGTGATGGCTACTGGTTTAGACAGCATAAAAAGGGGATTACACAGATTATGGAAAATAAATCTAGCAGCTGCTATTAAGCTCCATGGAACCTCCAGGATCAGAGGCAGTAGGAAATTAAATAGTAGTGGCTGATAGGAAGGGCAATAGTGGTGGGGGAATGACTTCATCTTTTGCTTGTTGGCTTCCAAGGAACACCTGGCTGGCTGCTGGGGGAAACATGATGATTGTCTAGAAAGGTCTGATTCTGAAAATGTCTTTAAATTTTCTTAGTCACTAAACAAGTAAAAAGTATTTCATATAAATACAATTATTCTGATATCCCAAATGCTAGGTACCTACTTTTGAACATGCTTGTAATTGGTTTCCCATAACCTCTAACCTTGATAGTAGTCTGTCTTCATCTATCAAAGCCTGTTAAAAAGAAATCCAAAACACGTTCTTAAATTAACATAATGTAATTAATTAAAATCCTCAGCAAGCATTTCACAAGCAAGGGCTTTCATGGTTTTTCACACAGCACGTGCAACTGCAGCCTTCCCCAACTGGGTGCCCATACAATATTTTGGATTACAAATCCCAGCATCTCCCAGCTATCCATGGTGGCTGAGGGATGTTGAGAAATGTAGTGCAACAGTCATGGTGGGCACCAGGTGGGGGAAGACTGCATTATTGTTTACTAACTGCAACTACTTTGGAACATTTAGTAGTAATATAAGCAAAAGCACACAGAATACCTGCCAACTAGTATCCGATGCCTCTTGCGTGACAGCAAGTAATCGCTGCAAGGTGGCCAGCTTCTGTTCCAACATTTGTTCCCTATGTAAGGCCTCCTGCATTGAACAAACACACATATTATTTATTTATTTATTTATTAAACCATTTTAGTTTAGAACTAATATAAAGCCATATTAGTTCAAAATAGTAGCAATGTTTCAAAACACTGGAAGCCTAACATCCCACTATATAAACTCGGTGTTTTCCATATGCACAGTGAGTTTAATCTAAGGGGAGTTAGAAGAATAACAATAAGAGAGGTGAACACATGGTCCAAGTTCACACAATATACTAAGTGACCCTGCAAATAAGCTGCATGAAGTGAGTTGCTCATAAAACAAGCAGTGTATGCTTGACATATGACATGTTACACTGTGGGATGTTGTCCCCCTCCTTCCCTCTCAGTCCTTCAGCTGATCTTGCCTCCCTCTCCCCACTCCAATTGCCACCTGTTTTTGTTCATTTGTTTTTTAGGAGCCTCAAAAATGCAACTGGAGTGGCATCTTTTTTCATCTCTAGGAATTGTGCGGTTCTGCTGTAATTTTTATTATTATTATTATTTGGGTCAGTCTTCCGCAAGTGTGTACGGCATGAAAGTTGTGTCTCCTATCCCACATACATTCAATGAGTTTATCTGCACTTCCTACTGTGTGTTTCTGTATGCTTACAAAAGTATTTGTTGCATTCATACTTTACATCTTTAGTTATACTGCTTATGTGTACACCCCAAAGGGAAATATACAAAGCAGTTTTAATTTTCTGTAAGATGTTTCAGATCATTGGTGTACTTAATGCATAAGTATTTTCAGGGTCTAGGCAGTGTTGCCAGCAAGTTAGGCAAGGGTCTAGGCAAGTTTTTTTTTAACTTGAGTTGTCATGGACTAAACTTGGGTTCTGTGCTCTGGTCTTTTAGGAATGTTGACACTCATCTCACTGTAGATCTTTCGCATGTTCTAATAACAAAGGCACATGATGGACTAATTCTCTTACAAGAAAAACAAAGCAACTCATGTGTCAAATAAGGTGCAAATAAAATAAGCAAACAATATTCATTTCCCACCAAAATATTCAAAGTTCTCTTTAGCAAACAGCCACTAGATGGCATACTTGACCCTTCTCTGAACATTTGACTCTGCTTGGAAATATGGAACACTGGAATTTTCTGCTTAAGTCTGAGTGAGGATTCCCTTGCTCGCACACTTCTGGACATGTTTTGTGCATTTTTCCTGATTCTGCCACTTGCACAGATAGTAATTTATGCAATGGCAGGGAGAACTCAAAATTTGCTCAAATGGTGCCAGATTTTTAAAAACGTTTTTAATTGGCAAGGTGTGCAAACTGTGCAGGATGGCAAGTCTGCCTTTCCTCTCTGTAGCCCTTGCAGAAGCACACCCACCTCTTGTAAATAACCTTATCAATGTTAAACTCTCCACACATTACCTCATTTAGCCCAGTACAGAGCCCTTTTTCTGTACTTCATGCAGAGAGTATAAATTCCTCTCATTTTACAACTACTTAACTCTGGAAGTGTACAGGTTTGGGGGATGATGCTGACAGGGTTTCTGATACCTGCTAAATATGGCTCTGCTAAGCTAAAGAACAAGTATGCAGAAAGAATGAAACTCACAAGAATATTTACAAGAAGGGAATAGTTAGCAATCATGGGCACTTGTTAGCCTAGTTCGTAATCACGGGCACTTGCATAAAATTGCCAATTAAAATATTATTTTTTCAATGTTAACACCATTTGCACAAATTTCAAGACCTTTGCAGTTCCAAAAAACTGCAAACTGCTGCCACTAAGCAAAAATAAAAGGGGGGGATCAGTCCAATGCCTCAAATTACTAAAGATCAAGTCAATGACAGAATGAAAATTCACAGGGCCAACCCAGAAGAATCAATGCTGTTTCCATTCCCCCACCCTGCTGCCAGAAGAACTCTCAAACATGTCTACTTATTCTTAAATTAGCACAAAGGGCAACTTCCCAAAATCTCAATTCAAAAATTCTGCAGAAACAGAACAACCCCACAACTACAGGGTTGCAAAGTGAGAGTGCCAGTTCCAGTTTGGTTTTGCAAGCCTTTAGGAAAAACACCCTCAATGGGTCCCATATTAGAGCAAGTTTACTTTCTCACTCCTTTGATACTAACTTTTATTGTTTCGCATCCTCTTACTCATCACTGCTACCATTTGTTTATTAGATGGTAAGAACAATCTGGAAGCTACATCTACTGCTGCTCATTCCCACCACTCCCAGCAAGAGACAGGTTAACAAGCAGGTTGCAACAGTGACATGCAGGAACTCCAGCCATGTCAAGGTGTGTGGCCTTAGTGGTTGTCCCACTGCTCCTGCCTTTGAAGCCAGTCCTGCAAAGTGGCACAGCCAGCTTTTTGTAGTTATATACCATCAAGTCATCTCCACCTTATGAATGAATGTCCTCCAAAATATCTTATCCTTGACAGCCCTGTTCAGAGCTTGCAAACTCAAAGCTGTAGCTTCCTTTATGGAATTGACCCAGCTCATGTTTGGTTTTCCTCTTCTTCCTCTTCAGCTTTCCCTAGCATTACTGGCAGGTTATATTTTAGGTCACATGTATTAAAACTGTTGAAATTTTCCAGGTTTTAATAATTAGAAGACGGAAGAAATAAAGAAGCTCATTCTTGTCTGCAGTCCAAAAGGATGGCTCAAAAGTAAAGAAAAGGGACAATGCCAGATGACCACTACAGGAGATTTAAAATGCACTTAGGGTTGTTGTAATTGGATATGTGGGGAAAATGCCATTGAATATTATGTTTAGGAGATTTAAAGGGAACAAATTCATTCCTGCAAGCAAGGAGCTGCAGTCTTTATTATATTTCAGCCAATATCTTATCCAAGCAGAAAGCTATCAGACAGACTAATGGGATATGCTGCAAGACTGGGGGATTGTGGCAAGACTAGATGATACTTCTTCGAACACTAGGTCAGTTTGCATGCTGCAATAAGCTACTTAATTAACACATGGGGCTCCGAGACATCGGAGCTGCCATTCTGAACATGCCAGCCAGGCAGCATCTCACTGCAGCTTGTGGTATGTAAAACAAGACTATGTAAGAGTTAAACAACCTTTAAAAAGATGTTATCTGAGCTTTCAGAACCTGGCAAGCTGTGGTTCACCCCCATTGGGAGCCACCATGTCTTGGAGCACTGCAGGTAAATTAACCCATGGTGGCTTTCTGTGACATCTGAACTGATCAATGAATCTTCCTTTGTTCAGAACCAGAAGAAAGGAGTGCTATAACGCTACTGCATTTAATTATTAATACCAGCATGGTACAAACTATGATCAGAGTGTATATGTGACAAAACATTGCTGGTTACTTGTTGTGCATATGAGATTTAAGATTAGAAATCCATTTTCTAGAATTCCAAGCACTGTAACCCTATATTTAGCTATGCATGTTAAGAAATGCCACTACATGCATGATGCCACCAGCCTATCCAACTTCAGCTTCATCCCTTATAGACACCACATCAAAGCTCTTAGCTTATGGTATGGAAAGCCACAAAGTCAAATCTATATAGTGTAAAGGCACCAAAATTATTTACCTGCCCAAAAACAAAATTACCTGTAGATACTGAGAAAGCTGAAACAGTTCCTGAGAGTACATACTGGGAGTGTTAGCAGCAACCTATAAAATTGGAGAACAACAATGACAATTTATGTTCTGTCAGACTAATACTCTAGAGTCCATAATACTGTCAACCCATATAAATAAAACTGCATCAAGAAAATTCCTTTCTTTCTAATTTTAGTTATACAGCTTCATTTCATCTTAATCCAGCCAAACAATTCTCCACAATATATAAGGAAAATGCCTCTTATTTGTTTGTTTGTTTATTTATTTGGGATATTTCTAGGCCATCCAATCACTCTGCATCTCTGGATGGTTCTTTTCACCCATTCCCGAGTGTAGGACATGGAACAACAACATAAACTGTAGTACACCAGATTCAGGCTACACACCAGGCAAAACATTCTGTCAAAGCAATATAACAGTGGAACCAGTTGCCAAGAGAGGTCATGGGCTCTCGACTAGAGCCTCTACACTAGAGACATTCAAGGCAAAACTGGACAGTCATCTGACTGGGATGGTGCGGCAATGGTCACAAAAATGTCATTTGACATATGAAACCATTTTTAAAATAAATGCCTAGCAGAAATCCCACAAAACCTTTCTGTGGTTTGGTAATACCTTTTTAACAATGCTGTTCAGACATGTCTAACTTCATATAATTGGAAAGGAGACCACAGAAAAACATAGCATTACTGATTTAAATACAATTATAACACTTCATGTATCATTTCTCTAGATGTTTGCCTTCTTCCTTATATGGAAGATATTAAGCTAGTAAAGTACTTAGTACCTTGGTAGAGTACTTTAATACAAAAGTTACTCATTGTGATGGAATCTTAATGTGCAAGAACTCATATGCAGGCAACTACAGAAGAATACATGAACCTACCTGCACTGCAAAGTCAAATCTAGCCTTTACTTAAGTAATTAAGGATTTTTATAATTAGATTGCTAGGTAATGTAACCTTTGGAATTGTGGTCACATGGTATACCATGTGAGAGAATAACATGAGAAGCACAAAGATCTATTAGCTATGTTACATTCTTCCTCCTAACTTTCTATTTGGGTTGTCAATAAATAAACAATTCTGAAATTTAGCTTTCATTGACTATTTTAGCACAGTCCTGATAAAAGAACCTTCCAAAAATTATACTTTGGCTGCAAAAATTAAATCTTAAGTCTGGCCCACCCAATTTATTTTAATGCATTTTGTGTTACAACATTATGTGAAATAGAGATTTAATTGATGCTACACCTTGTCATACCAACCAATTTGGAATAGCAAAGATGGCTACTAAATTAGTTGGATGGCAACAGAGGAAATGGAGACACCAAGAAGTGCTGTCTACCCAGTATGTTTTCTTTGTATGTCACGGATGCTTATTTAAAATAGGAATGATGTCATCTTGGCATAATTTAGCAAATTCCAGAAGGGATGTATGAATCACCTTTGGAGGCCTGTTGTGACAGGTTTGTACACACACTGAGAATAAACTCACTCATACCCATTCTGACCTTGATGCCACTATTACAGAAGTTCACATGGAGGCTAGGGTTGGGATGAATAGTACTGGAATCTGTTCCCTCAAGCATTCCTAGGCTTCCTCTTATGCTTGGCATAAGAAAACTAAGCCAAGAGGAAGTCCACTGTTTGGACTAGATTGCCATCCGTATGCTGATACCCCACTCTATTTCTCTCCGACATGAGAATATTAAGGGTGGCTGCACAGGTGCTAAAACAGTGCCTAGATTTGGTAATCAGCTGGATGAGAACCAATGAATAGGATTCTTTTCTAACAAGACAGAGGCACTATATTTTGTCATGGGTATCTAATTGTGGGGTCGTTCAAGAATATTTGTTCATTATGCTTTTGGAAGGACTGAAGAACAAGTATACAACCTGGCAGTACACAAAGCCTAGTCACTAGAGGCTCAGTGGCCAAAGTACCTTCTACTTGGCTTGCTCACGAGTGGCCATTTGGGGACAGGTATAGTCCAACTATGGCATAGTTCCGGCATCTGGATTGCTGTCTTAGAGTTGTCCTTCAAGATTTGTAAGCTTCACTTAGTGCAGAAGATAGCTGGCACTGCCCAGTTGGTTCACATGACTTAACAAATTTAAAAGAACTGAACTTGTTGCCTATTTAAACTGCCCAAAGAACTTCAGCTGTGGGGTAGTACAGAAATGAAATAATATATAAATAAATCAGCTTTTCAAGGCCCAATTCAGTGTACAGTTCTGGACCCAAGTAATTGGAAAAAATGCATGCTCCTATACTAGCCTGCCTGAGGTCATGATCTTCTGCTAAGGCCATTTTCCAAGGACCTTCTTTAATGGAAAGTGAGCTACATAATTACAGAGAAGAGAGCAGGCCCCTGATGCCTAATTTACAAACTTTTCAGCAATATTAAGATATATATTTTTTCCTAGGAATTTTATGCAGTCTGGCCTCCTACCTGAATTTGTACTTGAAATATTTCATTATGGCTGCTGAATATTATTTGTACTGTACTTCATTTGGTCTGGTTTGATTTGGTTTGGGTTTTTTGCAATGTACATTGGCCTGGAACCTCAACACTGCAGAACCTCAAATGTAAAATAGACATGTTTAAAATGGATGAATAAAATTAGAATGTGAAAACAGCTCTGAAAGTCTGTTTGTACATTTGATTTTCCCTCTCCCTTCCCAAATAGCTTACAATTCCATCACCCTTCTAAAAAGCTTCTACACAGCTTACCTTAAATTTGTGCGGTCACAATAAAAAGTGGTAGATATTTGAATTTAAATAAAACATGGATCAAAGATGACCATCGCTTAGAATTGTGTTTGTTTCTACATTTACACATGCATACTTGTTCTGTGTTGTAATTTTCAAGGGTATGGCTAAGTTCTTGCATTTTTAATAAACAGGTTTCCAGATTATTCATGTTGTATCTTTTTCTGCTTTCCTCTCCAAATGAAAAGTAATATTTTTCAACATGGTTTCTAGTGTTTCAATACAATATTTTTTATGCAGTTGGTTTTTTTAATCACAGATTATCTAACAAAATTTTAACAAGAAACCATATGGAAGAAAATTACATAGTAGAGAAGCCTTGGCTGAAAAATGTGTAAATCTGAACCATAATTTTATGTATATGTCAAAAACTATATGACTGTTATTAAATATCTCTTTGAAATAACCCAAGCATAATGTTGTGCCACAAGAATTTCACCTCAGCATTAATATACCAGATTAAACTTTATTTGGAAGCTCATAAGACACTTCAAATCACTATCTTATAAATATAGAAACAATATGAGGGCAAGCGACCTCAACCAGACAATTTTTCAAGTAAGCTTCTTTTTCTCCAATTAAGATACCTAGGGTGATGAGGGATAGTCTAAGATATTTCACTAGACTGGTAATGATACCGCAGATAATCCTGTAACAAAGTATAATCATTTGCAGTAACATTGCAAAGTAATAACTATAGTTAGACTTAACAGCATCCTTCACTGTAGTTCTATTAGACTTGCTTTCTTATTAATTCATGGAGGACATCTTTCTTTTAAATGTGTTGGTCACAAAAGGAGCAGCCCTCAGATCCTCTCACTTAATAGAACTGTACTCTTCTGGATGGTGTTCTGGTGAAGACTGGGTGGAAAAAGCTAAATCCGCTCCACCATGGCAGCCAGTGAGAAGAGAAGAGACAGTAGCTGTTCTTTTCTGCTTCCTCACGTTAGCAGGGATTGGGTATGTGATGCTTGTCATCATCTCTCCCAGGCCCTCTCCTTTAGAAAGCTCTCTCTTTCAGCAATGCAGCAAGAAGCACTGGTCCTAAAGGGACCACAGGGAGAAAGCAAAAGGAGGACCAACCACAACCACTGCCTGCTCAATCATTCTTCCTCCCTCTGTACAGGGAGGACTGAGCTCAGTAGACCCACTGACTGTCCACACTTAGTCTAGAGAGAGTGTGCAGATGAGCAAGCAAATCATTTTATGAAGTTCTTCATGATATTTTGGTTAGCAAACTGGTTAAATCATAGCTGGCTGGAAGGCCACGCTGAAAGCTTGCTGATCAATTGTGTTTCATCAAACTGGAGGGAAGTTTCAGGGGGGTTGCTACTGGGCTCCTCCACATCAGCATGCTCTCTAAATGCTCCTACAGTATTTGAACCTTACTGGATTATCTCTAGTTCCAGTGTGGTGTACTGGTTAAAAGTCTGGGACTGGCATTTGGGCAATATGGGTTCTAGTTCTAGACCCCACTTGGCCATGGAGCCAAATGTGTGAGTTTGGGCCAGTAAGAGACTCTCAGACCAACCTACAGGGTTGCTGCTGTGAGGATAAGATCGAGAACAGGCAGAGAAGAATGATGTAAGCCACTTTGAGCTTGTTTTAAGAAAATGCAAGATATAAATCTAGTAAATAAATAATTGGTTTCACTGGCCTTGGCATTTCAGCTGATGAGTCTATCCCTCCTTGTCTGTGTCAGAACCTGTTTCCACATGGCTTAAAAGTTCTTTTGTAGGAAAAGTGGTCCAAATGCTACATCTGGTATGTTTAGAGAAGCACTCTCCAAATAGTTCGGGCTCTCACTCAGAAGAAGGAAAAGTCTTGTCCTCTGCTGCCTGAGAGAGCAGGACTAGCAGCAATGGGCTTGTTATTGGAGGATAAATTTTGACTGAATAAAACACAAAACTCAGAGCAGCTACAAGGGCAGGGGATCTTTTAAAGCAAAGGAAACACTGCCATTTGTTTGGAAAGTCCTAACTCTGGATTTCTTCAAAGGAGAAGAGACTGGGCAAGATGGCTTACAAACCACTCACCAACTGTATGATTTGATGGGCAGACAGGACTTCTTGTTTCTTTCCTACTCTGTAAGAATAACAACCAATATGCTGATGTATGGAAAATCCACAGCAGATTTGAAATATTTTTGCTTATATGAAGTGGATGTGACAAGCCTCTCAAAAATGCATATGCACTGTTGCTGAGCATATCAGTTGTGTATCCTAAAATGCATATGCAGAGTTGCTTCCCGGCCAATCTCATCTACCGCAACTCCATAATAGATTGGTTGCATATACTGAAGGCTATCTTCATAGCCAGAAGAAACAGAAATACACATATTCTTAAGTGATGTTCTCAAGATTGTGAATTCAGGATGTATAGGATGTTATGTTCTTATACACCAATATAAACGTCTTTCATATTTCTGTATAAGAATTTACTTGATCTGTTGTAACCTGTTTCAAACTAGTGTCTCCAAAGCAGTACTTCTTCACTTTCTAATATGATGATAGGCAGAAGTGGGTTCTGGAGAAACATACTCATGAATCAGTACCTCCTTTTCTTATGACAGAGTACTTGCTTGTTTCTTAAATTTTTTTGACTTCTATGTAGCAAAAGAAAAGAACTGCTCTAAGACTTACCTTATCAACAGGACTTGGTAATGGAGCATGGATAACACTATGGAAGAAAAATGTCATCAGTTAATAAAATTCTCCTTCCACTTGTTAACTAAGGAAACTGAAGAAAAATGCAATTTATACAACATTGTATTCTTTCTATTTTCACACTAAAGATTATGTATTATATTGATAATGCAATCCTCCGTACATATAGACAGAAAAAAATGTTTAGAACTCCCAGCATGCATCAGCCACTATGGCTGGCTATCTTATTTCTGTCTAGACAGGCATTGGATTGTATCCTTAAAGTGTCCTATTATGGAGCTGAAAGAACAATTTTAGAAAAAAAATAGCCCAGGTTTGCTATGTAATAATACTGCTATGAAATAACACTATTCAGAAGGCCAAAAAGTGTACAACACATTAAACAGATTTCTCAGGACACATCAGTATCCATGCTGTACATCAAAATGGATTACTGGGGGTGAAAATAGCCATGGGTCTGCCATATTAATAGTATTCAAATTTTTGTATGAGAAAATGAGGTATCCATGATTTACATAAATCCTTTAATATCTGAAGTTTGTTGGACATTAGAACAACCACTTTAAAGTTACACTTACTCTGACCGTAGCCTAGCTTCCATACCATCTGGGAGAAATAGTTTTATTGTGGAGACAATGCATCCATGGGTGACTGGAAAGAACATTAACATTGTAAATTCTAAGAAATAAATTAGTAAGAACCTATTCAATGAAAAATGAAAATAATTTGAAGCGTTCAGTGTAATTATACTGATGCTATCATATAAGGAACAACACAGATGCACACACAAAAGCCAAGGAATATGGAAAATTAAATGTTTCAACCTTACAGAATAAATTTATGACAGAGAAGAAGTCATGAGATGGTTTAGAAATACTTAAGTTCCATCTCCCATCCCACCTTGGGCTGTACATTCAATTCTGAACTTTTCAGAAAATATGTATCATGTTTCAGCAAACTGTTTATGAACTATGTTAAATTGTTTCAGACAACTCTGAGGTCATCTCAGATCACAGAAAACACAACAGACGATTCTGGAAAATTATGAAATGGTGGCATACAAATAAAATTTTATTTCTTGCGATCAGTGTAAAAGCCTGAAGCTAGATCAGATAAAACTGGGGCTAAGAAAATCCAGAAGCAATTATTCCAGATACATCGTTGTTCAATGAATTGGAGAAAAGCAATACTCTGCAATAATTATAAAGTAACTAGTTATGCTGCTTGCTCTGTAAGGATATTTCATTTCAGGAAAATAGAGTTCTAAAGCATTGAATAGCATATTCTGCCTGTGTGTGGTTCTTTTTTTAATCTTTCCTTTCCAATGATAAGTTTCTTGGAAAGCCTTTCTTGTATTTCAAGAGGACCCTCTAGATATGATGGGTATGAACAGTTATGAACTGTTGCTTATGTTGTGCTGTTACCGAATGTTTTAAATTGTTTTTATATTAATATTTTACCTATTGTAAGCCGTCCTGAGGCTTGTTGCAAAGAACGGCATAGAAATGTTTGAATTGAACTCAACTGAACTGAACTGAACTGAACTGAACTGAACTGAATGGGTATGTATACACTGGCTTCTCTGGATCTGACTATAGGAGGCCAGATAGATAACCACTACTAATTACAAGTGAAATGTTATTTGATTTAGAACCTACACATTATAATGGAAATATGAAATTCCTCATCTGACATTTCTCTCATAATGCCAATATGGACCCCAGAAGACATTTTGCAAGGTAAAACTAATGAGCAGAATAGGGGTTTAACCCCACCCTTTCCTTCTTCATGCTGATCCTTTTCACAAATGTTTCACATGCTACATTCTCTTTTATTTCAACAAATGTAGAACAGGTATCTTAGTCTTGCTGATACAAAAGTGTTACCCTGAAATAATGGCTTCTTCTGTCCATCTCAGGTTTTATAACCTGAAACTCAATTTTTTCTTCAAAAAAGAAGCCATACTTTAATATACTCAAATATAATGACTTCTCATCTCATAAGTAATACTATTATTTTTTTATCTACTTGAAAGAAGCAGCTGCTGATACTGAAAACATTCCATTTCCTCCTTACAATAGTGTTCAAGTGCAGTGAGGACCTGTACACAAGGCATTTCTCTATATGCAAATGGAGGCAAGAACAAAGGGGTCAAATGTCCTCCAACCCTCTGGAAAAGATTTGGATGGAGCATAGGGGCTGAAGAAGGGGAAATCTGTTCCACTGGAAATGTATGGGTATTCACAGAAATGCTCAGAGGACTTCAAGGAGAAGGGATAATTTGTTCTATCAGGGTTTAATTATATTTCTATACTGCACAATAGACAAAGCAAGTAAATGTATAGTGCACATTTTATTTTTCAGCACAGTGCACTTTTCTGTAACATTTCGACATTCATCTGAATTTAGACTAAATTTTAGGGGAATTATCTGAGGGCATTAAAATGTCGTTTCAGAAGCAACCAACATGCGGAAAAGTATATGGCAGATTGAGAAACTGCAAAAAAATGTAATAGTATAAATGAGGAAGATAATAATTTATTCATATTATTTACATTGTTTCCATGCTCCTCTTCAATCTAACTATCAAAGCTAACTAGTAATAAGCAGAAAACAAAAGCAGAAAAGCTACTGCCCAGTTACACATTGTTAAAGTAGCATTCATTGTCTGAATATAGAAATTATGCCTGGCTGGTTCCAAGAAGCAATCTCTTTAAAAGGATACTTTATAACACGAAATACAATCTAAGTAGTGTGCATACATTTGGAATCTTGCTCTATGATAGAACATACCTAAAACTTTAAATTAAAAATAGAGAGAAAAAAGTGATCCGTACCCTTACCTTTCCGCGTGTTCTCCGTCACATCTACACCAAATTGGATGATATCACCAGACAGAATTTCACATGGTGGGCTTTCCTCAGATCCTCTGCTCAATCTCTGACTATTTATAAAAGTACCATTACTACTTTTAGTATCTTGAAGGTAGAACTATAAAAAAGAAGAAGATGGTTGTAAGTCACCCGTAAGGAAAAGATCACAATACAGGCTAAAGCAAAATTCAAGGTTTCATACATAGATAATTCACAAACATTTTAATGGCTATAGTCCAATTACATATAGTATCTTTATTAGGTATTTGTTGTTGCTATTCTTCTATGAATGAACATGGTTCTTTCCAAAGTAGTATGTTTAAGGAAGGTATTACAATACACATCCTGTATGTAAACGTGAGGAAATCATCACCAGTAAAAATGTGCTGAGGCTGAAAAGTCAGGCTTGCTTGAACTGGAACCATTTTCTCCCTGATTCTGAGTTGATGATCAAGCCAAGTCAGATTCTCTTTGCTTCCTCCCTTACCCGCACTCCTGCTAAATGAATCCCATTTCTTGTCTGTTGCCCACTGATTTTCTTCCTACTTCCTTTACAGGTATATGGGCTGCTGACGTCTCATAAAAATAGGATGGCAGAATTCTTCCCCCTCACCCATTCCATGATTGGGTCCAAACCTTCCCTACCCCAATGTTCTAGTAGGAAAATTGTGGTTACATGAAAATTGAAAGATGGAGTGAGGCAAGGTGTCAAGGAGGGAATGCAAAAAAGAACAGAAAACAAGTAGAGAATTAAGGCAGGCTTATATTTAAGCACCTGCTTCATATCCAAAAAAGAATTGCATGCAGATGGATGAGCAGGCTGGCAGAGGAGCAATCAACTTTCTGTCTGTTTTCTGCACCTATAATAAGAACCAAATGCGCTGCTGGAACAGAGATGTCTCCTCCTTCACATTCAAGAGAGAAAAGCAGCTCTCCATCCACTGCCAGCCCCCAGCAGCCTAGCAACATTTTTATGTAGACTACAGTATATCACAGAAGTGAGTACGCCCCTCACATTTTGTAAATATTTTATTATATCTTTTCATGTGACAACACTGAAGAAATGACACTTTGCTACAATGTAAAGTAGTGAGTATACAGCTTGTATAACAGTGTAAATTTGCTGTCCCCTCAAAATAACTCAACACACAGCCATCAATGTCTAAACCACTCGCAACAAAAGTGAGTACACCCCTGAGTAAAACTGTCCAAATTGGGCATTTTTAGCCATTTTCCCTCCCCAGTGTCATGTGACTCATTAGTGTTAAAAGGTCTCAGGTGTGAATGGGGAGCAGGTGTGTTAAATTTGGTGTCATCGCTCTCACTCTCTCATACTGGTCACTGAAAGTTCAACATGGCACCTTATGACAAAGAACTCTCTGAGGATCTGAAAAAAAAGAATTGTTGCTTTACATATAGAAGGCCTAGGCTATAAGAAGCTTGCCAAGACCCTGAAACTGAGCTGCAGCACGGTGGCCAAGACCATACAGCAGTTTAACAGGACAGTTTCCATTCAGAACAGGCCTCGCCATGGTCGACCAAAGATGTTGAGTGCACGTGCTCAGCATCATATCCAGAGGCTGGCTTTGGGAAATAGACGTGTGAATGCTGCCAGCATTGCTGCAGAGGTTGAAGGGGTGGTGGGTCAGCTTGTCAGTGCTCAGACCATACACCGCACACTGCATCAAATTGATCTGCAAGGCTGTCGTCCCAGAAGGAAGTCTCTTCTAAAGATGATACACAAGAAAGCCCGCAAACAGTTTGCTGAAGACAAGCAGCCTAAGGA